ATTAATGCTGACAAAAGTGATGTGCTACGCGTAATTAGTACAACTTAATTTCTTTAACAAGACTTTAATCAATTACCTGCACATTGTCAAAACTTCTGACAACAGAAAAATATAATAACACAGCCAGCCAATTACAGTGGTTGGCAATGGCTTTTCCCTCATACTTTGTATCGCAATTACGTTTGTGGTAAAAAGTAGTTATCATGCCCCTTAGCATCACTGTAAAATTTGGTAAATTGCAACAAATGTATAGGAAAATTCCAATACGTGCGTCTGGGACACACTAAATTGCAATGGTCTTTTTTGCTTACAGATGCGTTTTTAAGCACATCTTAACAGGGTGCATTTTTACATCTTGCAAATGACAATTGTTCATCACATTCCTGGACAATTTTTTTTTGTTTACCGATAAGATGCGTATTTGTCATTTGATAGATGTAAAAATGCATCCCGTCAAGATGTGTGCTGAAAAACGCATCTTGCCGTGGACAAAAAAAAATGTCCATTGGAATTTAGCGTGAAGGCTCTTACTACTACACATGTATAGGAAAATTGTTTGACGATGAACATTTTTCTACATTCTGCTCGGACTGTACCAAAGGATTTCGTATATCATTAATGTTACAACCGGTAGCCAAAAATGCCTAGCGCGACACTAACAGGAACAAAAATAACAAAACTAAAGAACCGATATGGATTTATCAAATATTTCTAGGAAATCTAGAGCGACTGAACCGGTTCCGGATCAGCCCGGAATATTAAAGGAAAAGGAGCAAAATCGTCAAAAACAATTTCGGTCACGTTACGACGGCCTGCTCTTTCGGCCAACTGTCATATCCCCAAAACAGGTGCAGCTACAACCCTCAAAACAATTGCAAATTGTAAAGGAAGGAGTCGACTATTATTACCTCCAGCCGTGGTGATTCTAGCACTCACGCACAGTGGGAGATTCAGGTTCAAAATCGCGACAAAAGTCAAATCTTTCCATGATCACCTTAAAATTCGCAATTACGGAATTTTCTATGGAAATGTTATCAAAAACCGTCAAAAACCTGCCAATTTAGTGAAAAGTGCAAAATTGGTCCACCCTATCCACCCCGCCCCGAAAACAATATTATAATTGCCAAGTTTTCGGTTCTGTTTCTATGAACGCCGTGCAGCCACAAGTAAAAGTATGCTCACGTGTTCAAACACAAACATATTACATGTTGTGGCAGTTTTTTGGCAGAGCCAGCCGGGCACTTCCCCCAAGAAAGGCGATTTTTAAATACTCAGTATCGCCAAGGTGGCAGCTTGTGGCACCTGTTCTCAAGCGGGATACGTTTATTAGTGTCGTAGCTACCATTTGGTGCAAGAGTTAGAGTGGAACTCGGCGGAACTCAAATTATAACTCAATATGAAAATACGATAACACCTAGCCTCTAAATCTGAACATTTGATTATGATTTATTCCTATTCTCAAGTCTTTGACATGATTAATAAGACTTAAAATGTTGCCCAACTTTTAAATAACAAGAAATGTCACTTCCACACGGTAAAAATAGTTTCTTGTATTCCAAGACCTAGTCTTGGATGCCATTGGCGTTCCCCATAAGATCCAAGACCGGGTCTTGAAATACAAGAAACTTTTTTTACCGTGCAGTCCTTCTAGACCGTGTTTTTCTCAATTTAGAATCATTTTACCAAAGCCACTGACGAAGCGAGTGAGGCGGAGGCAAGCGCAAGGGTCGGTTTAAACACATCCTAGCCAAAACACAAGCGATCAAAGTGCAGTGAAAGTGAAGGGAAATTGTGACTTTAGGTGTCATCTACCGATATCAAACATAAAAATCCGTTGATTCTAAAGATTAGATTTTTGACTTTTGTCGCAATTTTGAGGCCAAATCTCCCACTGTGTCACGTGTTACGGGTCAGCGAGGAAAAACGAAAATCTGATCCGAAATAGGTTTAGTCGCATTACTGATTCAGAAAGGTTTCAGTGTGCCCTCGGTTTTCATGCAATAAAAAGTTAGGGCTACGTCGGCATTATTTTCTGTAAATGGCTAGTGACGTTGGGCGCACGTTTAGGCCCCTGGATACGTCGCGTGTGTCGGATCCTGTCATATCTGATACAAAGTAGGACCCATAGGGTAACTCTTTCAGCCCGAGTCGTTCACCCTGGCCCCACCGTGCGCGCAGGGCAGCCCCTACAAGATGGCGTGCCTGTTTGGTGCCAAGGTTAGGTCAAAACGAAAATCGCAATGCGATCCGGGAAAACGTTGTCGCACAGGCCCTGGACTTTGCACGCGGTCTCTCTTAGGCCAAAACTCCCATTTAGGCTCCGTACCTCCGAAATCCACGATTTCGACCCATGAAATGGGATGGGCTACTCCCAGCCTGGCCTCCACTTCTCCCCGGCCGCTCCCCACCCCACACACTAGAGGAGAAGGGGACGGCGCGGGCGCCTTTCCCCCTTCCGTTTTTGTTTCTTCTACTTCCGCTCCGCGCTCTAGACCAGTAAAGCATTCCGGTAAAGCTGAAATGCAGAAGAATGCAGGGAACAAGAAAGCGGAAGTCAACATGCATGCATGCTAAGGCATAGCGATTTCCGTTTTCTTCTTCCTCGCATTCCTCTGCATTTCAGCTTTACCGGAATGCTTTATTCTGCAACCGAAGCAAAGCATCACGCCCACTGCCAATCCAATAGGGTATTTCAATGGAGCGCTGGCCGGAACTAAGAAGAACAAAAACGGATACAGAGAGCGGTGGTGGGGGCGGGCGCGCGGAGGAGCGGAGGGCGCGCGGGGAGGCTCCCCTCCACCCGCCGCTTCTCCGCGCGTCTGCCCCCACCACCGCTCTCTGTATCCGTTTTTGTTCTTCTTAGTTCCGGCCAGCGCTCCATTGAAATACCCTATAAATACCCCTTATCACAGATTTGTTCAAGTCAACGTCAGTATAGTGCACAGCCAATGAGCACCCATTATTAGAGCAACCCGGTGGTCGTGCTTTTTGTCTTGAGTTGTGGCATCGTTCCAGAGCAACGTCTTTTAAAAGCGACAAATAGAGCATTCCGCTGGAAAGTAAGCGCAACCTTACGAAGAAAAGCATGACAGCCTGATCTGTTTCATCCTGCCCGCTCATTTGCTTTCCACCACATCGAAGCTATCTTCGACAAATCAACGTTCAGAAGGGAAAATATTAGGCTTGTTTGTTTGGATTCCGCTTGCCTTACAGCGATATACCCCATCATGAAAATAAAACAATTCTTCGAGAGATATCGCGAAGCGTGTTACGCGAGACGTGGTCTGCCAAGTTACTCATGTTCCTTTTGCAGCCACTTTTGAGATGGAAGTAACTTCGATACACTGAGAATGCGAGTGTTCTGGTCATCCCTTCATCAATTGCAAGCATTCAGACACAAGACGTAAATACTTGCACGTGTTCAACACAAGAAATTCATTCTTACACGCGTTTAACACAGAGGTTCTGCAGTTCACTTGCTTACTTGCAACTGTAGACCATTTTCTTGAACAAATATATTGTAAGTTCAAGCGGAAACGTAATAAACTCACCATTGCGACTAGTATTGGTTAAACCAGCGACGAGTCTCGCTCTGCGCTGCACTCCCTCCTCTCTGGCAAACACCGTACTGCCAGCACCTGTTGGTTCCCCACGACTTTCCCCCTCCAACCAGCAGACGGAAGTCGCCAGACGGTGGCGGTGTGTGGCGCTTGAACTCAGCTGCTTCAGTGCGTCCCGAGTCATCGGCGGAACTGGTCGCACGCTCGTTGATAGAGGAGCGCATACACATTGTGAATCTTCTGACAGGTATGTGACCCATCCGTATGAGTTGCCAGCAAGTGTAAATGTAGTTACTGTGAAAAATATCGTCGTATTTAAAAATAAATATAAACTCGAATTAAAATTTAAATTGTAAATTTACGAGACCACATTTTTTACTCGCACTCGCAAATGAATTGAAGTCGATTCGTACAGCATGTATTCTTACGATTACAAATGGTAATTTTACAACTTGCGTCAAGGAAAGTTGTTGGCGAAACCCATTTATGCTATATACTTTACTCCTACTTTTCAGTGAGTATTAAAAAAGACGCTTGCTGGAGGGGCATAGACCCTTTCAGCGCTCCCACGGTCCCCCCACCCCAGCGGCGCGTCGCCTAGCAACGCGATCCAAACAAACCGAGGTGCGCAGCCGACGCGCTGGACCGCCCGGCGGCAGGCGGTGCGCTGGCCCAGCGCGTCGGCTGCGCACCTCGGTTTGTTTGGATCGCGTTGCTTGGCGACGCGCCGCTGGGGTGGGGGGACCGTGGGAGCGATGAAAGGGTCCATAAAGCATTCCGGTAAAGGCTGAAGTGCAGAAGAATGCAGTGAACAAGAAAGCAGAAGTCCCCATGCTACAGCATAGCGATTTCTTTTTTCGTCTTCCTCGCATTCTTCTGCATTTCAGCTTTACCGGAATGCTTTATTACGGAGCTCTCTCACTGCGATTCGCCTGCGCCTTCTAACTGCCCCCCTCTACCCCCCTCACCCTGTTTGAGGGCGATAATTAGGCGAAGGCGAATCGTAGTGAGGGAGCTCCGTAATGCCCCTCCTGGATAGGGTGGCTGCAGCTGAGAAGAAGTAAACCCATCGATGGGGGCGAGCGAGAGAGGAAGCGGCGGGTGGGTGAAAGGGGAGCCCCCGGGCCCGTCCTACGCTCCTCCACTCGACCGCCCCGCCACTCCTCTCTGTACCCGTTTTTGTTTTTCTTAGTTCCACGTAGCGCTCTACTGAACCGATTTCGTCATTTCACGATAATAATGTGTCACGAATAGTTCGTAATTGAAAAAGACGGTCCACGCTCTGCGCGTTTCGGGAAGAGGTAGGGAAATCAGGGCTGGAACCAGTAGACGATTTCCTTAATTCTTCTGAAAATGGGCACAGCGAGAACCGTCTATTAACGATCATTATCCGTCCATATTGCATACAAATTGTTCTAAGCGGTATAAAATAAAACTCTTCGTAACACTCCGATTTAATAGTGTCAATTGATCAGGATGGTACCCCAATACTGTCTGCATCTGCCCCCGCCCCCTCCCCCGCCCCTTACAACAGAGCAGCACGGTGCCCCACCTGTAGCAGCGGTGGCCGGCAGCGATGCTTCGTAGCCAGGGCAGTGCTACGCTCAGCTCCGTCACGCCCTCTCCCCCCCTCCCCCCTTTTCAACCGGCTGGCAGCTGGCAGGGACGCCGACTAGGGCTTTGAGGCCTGGTCGAGGGGGGCTAAGTTTTAGACAATCCCCAAGATTGTCTCTACCAGAAGGTAATGTGCCACCTCCCCTCCCCGCTTTGTTCCCTCGATAGAACAGGACCACACGGTGGTTTGGTTGTGGCGACGGTGCGACGTTGGCAGGTCAGCGCTGCGCTGGTCCCCCCCCCCC